ATATATATATATATATATATATATATATATATATAATTACATATAATGATAACTATAGAAATGACTAATGATCATGTGATTAAATAAAATTATTAAATGAAGAATAAATGAATAAATCCAAATGAAAATAAAACAAATGGATGGTTTATTTCCTGAAACAGCACACACATATGCTTGCTACAAGGATTCTCAGATCCGTAGTTAGATTCTTCAGAGCTAAAGTGGCATTGTGCTGATTTTTCCATTGTTTTAGGCTTGATCAAGCTCCTTCCTTAATTGTTTGTAACCTGTGCATGCTGATGTTTTTCCTTTTATACAATATTGTTCGCTTACCACGATGAACGTACACCAAAATCTCCATAAAGGCACGACGAAAAAGCCCTCCATCCTCCAAAGCACACCAGTATTGTCCTGCATCCTCTGTTCTCAGGTCAGTGATGGTGACGGTGAAAACTCTGTTTGTCTTATCGTCATTCACAGAGAATCTCTGGTCTTTTGCTGGAGATCCTGATCCAACTATCACGTTTTCAAATCCAAAATAACACTCGCCTTTGCAAAAAAACTTTGGATATTCAGTTCCAGACAGTTCCAGATATGAGCATCTGATGTCCAGTGTCTCTCCTCTGTATCCAGAAACTGTAACTGAAGCTCCAACAACTGCTGAAAACACAGATATGATCATATTATCAGCATGAGATATAATCAAGCCAGAATAATATTATCTAAAGAAATCAAAAGTCTTAAACTGACCTGTGCAGATGCTGGAAAACAGCAGCAGACTGACGCACATGCTGAAGCCTTTCTCTTCATACACGCTTTGACAAATGTAAAAGTCTTTCTTAAATGTGTCCTACAGTAGATTGCATAATGTAAAGTTCTTCCTTGTTTATGATAATCAGGGTGTAACTAGGCTTGCTTCATACATCAGTGAGACATCAAAAGTGTTTCCTTCTGCCAAAAGAAAAGTCGTGAGAATGTAAACGCTTTGTGTTGACTTTAATGCAGATTGCACAAAGCTGAAGTAGCAATCAAACACATCGTCTCTGACCTGATATATTATGTATAATAAATGATAACTAGATATTAAAGATTAAGGACAAACTTTATCACTCTAGAAAAAGCCTGTTAGAAGTAATTTCTTTAGTACATATCAAAAGTTGGCTAGAAGAATGTTTAAGATCCCTGCAGTCAACAATGTAATCCTTTAAAAGCCTAATACATGCCAGTCTAGCATAAATTACCATGGATTAGACTGTTACTGGAATGATTCTGGCATGAATATGCATTAAAACTGTAAAATATATGTCCAAAAAGTCATGACAGCGAGTGTCAGTCACAACACTAGGCTGCAGTGCTCATATGGGCCACTAGAGAGCACTGCATATGCACTTTGTGTGACCTCTAACAGCCATGCTGCTTTGCTTCCTTGATTGTCTGTTGATATCAGCTGTGTCTTACTTGGCTCTGTGTGTATTGAAGTCTCTCCCATATGTTTGCTTGCTTTTGTTGCTTCTGTATTGTGCTGCTTCTACCCATCTGTGGTAAGTCACTGTGGTTTTGTTATATTTGTTGCTTGCTTGTTTTAGTGTTTGTCAAGTTTTGGTAATGGTGCATTGCATCGCATCACCTGGATCACTTTGTAAAGTAAAAGCTGCACTCGGAACTTTCACCAATTATTTTTCTAGCCTATTTTGTGACAAATATTCTTAACATCAATGATAAAACAAAAATACTTTTGTCTTGCTTCACTTTTAAAAGGCTGTAAATCTCTTTAATGCTCCCAGGTAATACATTACAAGCAATGGTGCTACTGTAGTATACCAAAATATTTTCTCTTAATTTTAGTAATTTAATATTTCTTTCTATTATTTTAAAAATTATAATTTTCCTATTTACCCTTAAATAAAGATTTTTTCTTAAAGTAATTTTTTTCTATAAAGTTAATCTCTTCCATGTGTTTCCAAGCAAATTACCACAAAGGAGATTTACTGGAACCTGTTGACTTCCATAGAGGTAAAGTTGGTTTTATATTCGCACATTCGTTCATTTAGAAGTCTCTATATTGTTTACTATGTTACTTTGAATATTCGATTTGAATTAGCATGCAAGTATGACTTGAAAACAACATTAACACTGTTTATTTGACTGTGAACAATGTTGTACTTTGATTGTCATTGGCTGCTAATATAATTTTGCTATTTAGAGTTTGCAAATATTACTTTTATGAAATTGTATTATTAAGGGGAAAGTCTGAATGTGCGAATATATAAAACCAACTTTACCTCTATTTGACTTCCATAGAAGAGGAATAAAGTCAATATAAGTAGAAGTGCTATAAAGATCAATAGGTTAAAGGTACATGTATAAGTGGCGCCCCCAGAAAATTTTCTTAAAATTCTCCAAATCTTGGGGTGGCACACAAAACAATACTGAATTGTGTATATATTGTGAATAATGAGAAATGTTATATGTTTTGTTTCTCGTAAATGGAATATTAATTAATGAACATTGTAATTTATTCCTTGAAATAATTCAGTGAGTACATGTGTAAACCAAAATTGCAAAAAATAAATAAATAAATAGTTAAAAATTACATAATTTTATTGTACAACAGTATATGCAATGTCTAAAATTAATAAAGATTAATGAATTAATTAAAACAAACCAGCAAAACAATTGAGTTGCTAAATAAACTTGATTCTGAGAAGCTGATTTCAGAATGCATCTTTTATTTATTTATTTATTTATTTTTATTTTTTATTTTTTTTTTTTTTGCATTTGTGGTTTTCAATGAGATAAAATGTTTGTGTTTGTCTGTCTGTGGTGTGAAATTATGGAACAGTCTGGATCAGACTCTCAAACAATGTCAGCATAATAATCAGTTTAAAAAGTTGTATAAATATATATTATTAAAGGAATATAATGATGAAGGTGATTGAAAAGGGATCAAATGAGAAAGCTATGATGAAACTTTAATTAATGGCTATTTGCAGTACTATGTTTGTTTTTATTTCTTCTTTGGGTCTATGTTACAAAATGGTACAAATGGATTTAAACATATAATATGTCAAAGATGCCAAAAGGATAAAATAAGTCTCATGTAAAAAAAAAAAAAAAGGTGAGTAAAAGAAGAAATAAGTTTAAGTGATAGACGAATGAAGTATGTGGTAATGGGGTGGGGAAATAATAAGCTTGTGCTTCAACCCACTCCATTTTCGACCATGTTGAAATGTATTTATTTTTTATGATATTTTACATATGATATTTTTGATCGAAAATAAATAAATCAAATCAAACACAACATTTTCATTTCAAAATAATAATTTCTTAATAAAAAGTGTGCAATCTCAGTGAATCAGCTACACCAGTGGCGCTGATCAATCCACAGTAATTTAGTGGCTGCATTTTATTAATTAATTTATCTATTAATATCAACAACTAAATCATAATAGGGTGGCCACTGGAGTCCCTGGCCACCCCTTGGGGGCGCACCTGACATGTATGGCCTTTTTTTATTGTTTGGTACGAAATATATCAGTTTAAGATACTAATATGGGCTCTTTAGGTGCTGATATATAACTTTAATCCTATATTGACCCATTCTATGACCAAAAAAAATGTATAAAAAAGTGTCAACATCAATGAGAAAGCATCAATTTGTTCACTTCTCTTCTAAAAATACTGTAGATCAGGGATGTCAAACTCAGTTCCTGGAGGGCCGCAGCTCTGCACAGTTTAGTTCCAAACCTAATTAAACAAACCTGATCAAACTAATTGAGTCCTTCAGGATTGTTTGAAACCTACAGGTAAGTGTGTTGGAGGAGGGTTGGAACTAAACTGTGCAGGGCTTCAGCCCTCCAGGAACTGAGTTTGACACCCCTGCTGCAGGTAATACATTACAAGCAACAGTGCTAGTAAACAAAATAATTTCTTCATATTTTACTCTTTAATAAAAATAAAATGGCTCAGTGGGTAGCACGGTTGCCTCACAGCAAGAAGGTCACTGGTTCGAGCCCTGGCTGAGCGCTACGCCTGGTTTATAAAGGGACTAAGCTGAAAAGAAAATGAATGACTTCAGCAGTCAGTCTTTTGTATTTTATTTATTTATTTTTTGGTCAAATACTGTGATAGATGGACTCGTGTTGAGCAGAATCAGTGGTAAGACTGTGATACAGGTCAGTCTGTCTGGTGTTCAGCTCCGTGTACATCTGATCTGGAGTGTTGATATAGAAAACGTGTGTGTTTTCTGCTCTGGGAAGGCTGTTTTCTGCTGAACGGTTTACACTTTGAGCTGTGTGTGTGTTTGGCAGCACTGTTGGGTTTTCTTTCTCATATTCGTTCTGTAAATAAAAGATAAAAAAGGGAAACAAATACTTCAGAATTAGCATTGGGCAATGAAATGAACTTTGACTTTTGCTTAAGAAGAAATTCATGGTGCAAATGATGGACAAGTTTTATTTTAGATGGTCGTGACTCACTTCTTCTCCATTTCTTAATGTCAGATCAAGAGCTTCAGTGGTGGAGGACACCGGACCTGTGTGGTCAATAATAATAATCATAATTAGTTTTAAAAATGCAGTATTTATTCTTTAACAGCAATACCACTGAAGACAGACGCATAATAATAATAATAATAATAATAATAATAATAATAATAATAATATTAAATAGATAAATAAAAACATAAATGAACAAAATATATATTACAAATAAAAAATAATAATAAAATAACAATAACAATACAAACAAATAATAATAAAATAATAATTAAATAAATACTACTACTACTACTACTACTACTACTAATAATAATAATAATAATAATAATAATAATAATAACAATAATAAATACTTCAATATAAAACAAAAATAATAAATATTAATATTACAAATTGTAAAAATTAAATTATATGAAATGATAATAATAAATACAAACAAATAATAATAAAATAGTGATGACATTAATACGTAATATTATTAGTAGTAGTATTAATAAAATATATAAAAAATATATATAATTAATGCAAATGTAAAAAATACAAATGTAGTAATAATAATAATAATAATAATAATAATAATAATACAAAAAAAAATAATAAAAACAAATAATATACAAATTAAAAAAATAAAACAGTAATAATAATAATAATAATAAAATAATATTATTAATAAACAAATATTAAAAATAATGAATTTAATAATAGTAATAATAATACTAATAAATAAATAATAAAAACTAATAATAATATTACAAATTAAAAAATAAAACAATAATAATAAAATAATAATATTAATAATAAAAACAAATAATAATAATATAGTAATGAGATTATTTAATAATAATAATAATAATAATAATAATAATAATAATAATAAATAATAAAAATGTAATATTAATAATGCAAATAAATCATATAATAATAAATAATAATAATAATAATAATAATAATAATTATAATAAATAAATATTACACATTTTTAAAATAAAATAATAATTCTAATAATAAAAAATAATATTAATAATAGTACAAACGAATAATTGTAAAATAATAATGATATTAATAATAACAATAATAATAGTAATAATAATAATAATAATAATAATAATAATAATAATAATAATACATGATATTACAAATAATAAAATAACAAATAATAAATAAATAAATGAATAAATAAATAAATAAATAAATGAAAATAAATAAATAAATAAATGTATTATTAAAAGTTAAAGTTTAAAATCACCACAAGTCTTCTTTTTCTTTTGTATGATCACAGTAAATAATACAGCACCGGTCAGAAGCAAAACCGAAACTCCTGAAGATACGATGGCAATGATTGAATCTGACAATACACAAGACAAAGTCAATTGGTCCACAGAATTGAATTAATGTCAACATGAGAAATAGTTTTGAGACTTTGTCATTTACCCGAGTCAGATCTGGATCTTTGTGGTAAAGGAGTTTGTGCATCTTCTAAAAGATACAGATTCATTATTAAAAACAGGATGATGGTTAAAACATTGATACCTTGATGTGCTAATATGTAACTTTAAGGTACAATATGTAACTTAGGTACCTTAGGTACTAATGTTTACTGTAACTTTGAGGTACAATATAGACCCCTTGGGTACTAATATAGCTTTAGCAATACGGATCCTTTGTGTACTGATACATTACTTTTATAAACAATGTGGATGCTTTAGGTAGTAATACATTACTTTCAGATGCAATATGGATCCGTTAGGTTGTAAAAATTACTTTTTTTATATAGTATATTTTATGGATGGTCTAATGCAGGGGTGCTCAATCCTGTTCCTGGAGATCTACCTTCCTGCAGATTTCAGTTTCTACCCATATCAAACACACCAGCCTGTAATTATTAAGTGCTGTTCAGGTCCTAATTAATTGGTTCAGGTGTGTTTGACATGGATAGCAACTGACATCTGCAGGAGGGTAGATCTCCAGGAACAGGATTGAGCACCCCTGGTCTAATGTGTACCATTCCACTGACAGCTTTTGCATGTTTACTTCTGAGAGTGTGAAATAAGGCATCATGAACACTTACCCTGTTCAACCAGCAACTCAATCTCTGAGTAGACATCCGGTAACAAAACCCTCTCCACAGCACACCAGTATGTTCCTGCATCCTCTGTTCTCAGATCAGTGATGGTGATGGTGAAAACGTTGTTTGTGGTATCGTCAGTCAGAGAGAATCTCTCGTCTTTTGCTGGAGTTCCTGAATGGGCTACAATCTCTTTATTTCCATAATGGCACTTGCCCTTACAAAAATATTTGACGTTCGACTCATATCCAGAATTATATCTACATTTGATGTCAAATCTCTGTCCTCTGTGTCCGGAAAGTTTATCTGGAACACTTGCGACACCAGCTGAAAACACAAACAGCGAACGTTACATTGTTAGATTAGCACATTAATGGATTCAGAAACAGTCAGTGATGATTGTGAAATCTGAGATTGGTAAATAAAATAAAAAATAAAAATAAAAGTCCTGAACCCACCGATACTGATCCAGGACCAGAGGAGAGGCAGAAAACTCCACATGCTGCAGATTTACACACTTTTGACTAAGTTAAACCTGTCAAGATTGAAAAGCGCCTCTCCTTTTTTATCTTCTGTTTTGAAGCAGATGGTGAAATGCCCAACTTCTCCTTCCCTGTTTTCATTACAACATCCAAAAATGCCTCGATGTTTAAAGTTTACTGTGCATAAACAAAACATCAGCAACTATAAATGCCAAAAATAGCTCTAATAACAAGCAGCAGCATCAGTCTTCTTCCTCATTTCACTCTCTGCCTCCTGTGAAACTTAACTGTATGGACAGATTCCCAAACTGAAAGACTTTTTATCAGCAAAAGTAAAACTGAGTATGGCTTATAAGGGCAACACAGCAGCTCATTGCATAGCACTGTGGCCTCACAGCTAGAAGCTTGCTGGTTTGAGCCCTGGCAGGGTCAGTTGTTATTTCTGTGTGGAGTTTGCATGTTCTCCCTGAGTTGCCGTGGGTTGCTTCCGGGTGCTCCTGTTTCCCCCACAGTCCAAACACATGCGCTGTAGGGGAATTGATTTACTAAACTGGCTGTAGAGTATGTGTGTGAATGAATGTATGGGTGTTTCCCAGTACTTGGTTGCAGCTGGAAGGACATTCGAAGGGTAAAACATGCTAGAATAGTTGGTGGTTCATTTCGCTGTGGTGACCTCTTATGAATTAATGGACTAAGCAGAAGGAGAATGAATGAATGAATGAATGGCTTGTAATATCTTAACTTTTTTATATCCTAAACATTACAAACCAGCTGATGTTGTCTTGACTTACAATCTGTAGGTCATTCAGCTAAAAACATCTAAATCAATTACCAAAAGTGTTTATATGTACACAGTAACATTTAAAATACAACTGACTAATGTTTTAAACCACAATAAAATGTCAAAGTGTGAGTTTTCCAGTAGTCTCTCATGTGGGATTTTTTTTACAATGTACACTAGTAGTATTTAATAATATTTTAGTGGATGTTTTCTATAAAATTTTGGAAAATTGTATAATAGCCATGATGTTTTCTGCTTAATCATAAACGGATTTCATTGTAATATGGGGGAAACTTTTAAAGTTTTATCATACTTTTATTGTTTTGTTGCATGTACATAATACACATAAAAATGCATTAACAATTAAAGACAGACATTTAAAACTATTAAGCAAACTTGTCAAATTAAGCTACAGATTTAGTTAAATGAAACTAGAGTTAAATAAAAATGAAAGTTATTCAATGAATAATCTTTTTTGTGAACTTTATTTGAGAACATTTTGTTGGGTCAACTCAGGTGTGTTTTGCATGAACTGCCTTTTTATTTTATTTTTGGAATAAAATGTATTGGATTTAAATCTTGCATTAAGTCACTTACCCAAATTGACCTTAGAATTTATTTTTATTTAGCACACAAACATTTTCCTCCATCTGTGAAACTGCTGATATGTCTCGACTCATAATCTGAAAAACACTCAGCTTTATTCTTGGTGTAAAAAAATGTCATTGTCCAGTCTGAGGTCTAAATAAATTTACAAAAGTGTTTTTATATAAATAATAACATATATAGAATTAATAGCTCCCCTTTGATTTTTCTTTACTTTTTAAAATATTTCCTAAATGATGTTTAACAGAGCAAGGAGATGTTCACAGTATGTCTGATAATATTTTTTTTCTTCTGGAGAAAGTTTTATTTGTTTTATTTCGGCTAGAATAAAAGCAGTTTTTAATTTTTTAAACACTATTTTAAGGTCAAAATTATTAGCCCTTTAAGCTATATATATTTTTTTCCGATAGTCTACAGAACAAACCATCATTATACAATAACTTGCCTAATTACCCTAACCTGCCTAATTAACCTAGTTAAGCCTTTAAATGTCACTTTAAGCCGTATAGAAGTGTCTTGAAGAATATCTAGTCAAATATTACTTACTGTCGAAAAAATTGTTCCTGTTAAACAGAAATTGTGGAAAAAATAAACGGGGGCTTATAATTCTGAGTTTAACTGTATATACACAGCCCAAGATGGAAAGTAGTGATTTCTAAATTTACTTTGTCTTGTATTTCATTGCAGAAAATACAATAAACATTTTTAATGTGTTCCTCATTATTTTTATTGTGTTTTTTTCCCCCGAAATAAACGCGTACTCTAATTTTGGCTCTTGCAACTTTAAAATAAAATGTGTAATGTGTAATGTGTACTGGTGCGATGATTAACATTTAGTGTGTGTCTTCTATAAACCATGGTAAAGTTATATAAAAAATTGTATACATAAACTATGATTCTAATGCACATGGGGAACAGTTTTTAATATGCATAATATCAGGTAAAGAATAACAGGTGACACAATGTGTGCAATGGGTCGCCTCACAGCAAGGAAGTCGCTGGTTCGAGGCTCGGCTGGGTCAGTTGGCGTTTCTGTGTGGAGTTTGGTTGTTTTCCTCGCGTTGGCGTTGGTTTCCTCCGGGTGCTCCGGTTTCCTACACAGTCCAAATATATATATATATCAATAGTAGAATTGGCTAAGCAAAATTGTCTGTAGTCTATGTGTGTGAATGAGAGTGCATGGGTGTTTCCCAGTGATGGGCTGCATGTGGAAGGGCATCCGCTGCTAGATAGGTTGGCGGTTCATTCTGCTGTGGTGACCCTTGATTAATAAAGGGACTAAGCTAAAAAGAAAATGAATGAACGAATGAATGAATGAATGAATGAATGAATGAATGAATGAATGAATAGCATTTAAACCATAAACTAAAGGTAAACCTGTGAGTGAGCTAAACTGCAGACACTGTGGAGTAGATGACTGAGTCTTGATCAGTGGTTTTCGACTGAACAGATGTGTAATGTGTTTCTGCTGGATTATTCTCACTGTTCTCCACTTTGCAGTCAGTTTTTTTGAGGAACACCACAGAGGAATAGTTCAGACTGTCTGGTTGCGCAGTGAAGTTCCCCGTGGTGTAATTGGCATATTCAGGCTCATGTGTTGGCGATATTACACTGGAAAAGCATCTGCTCTGCTTATACTTTAGTCTGATCAATATGAAGAAGGCAGCTGTGAAAATCAGCAGGAGAACACCAAGACCTGCTCCCACATAAAGCAGAGGATCTGTGGAGAGAAATGAACACCTGGTTAAAGATATCGTTCTTTTCTTGTTGAATTGTTTATCTGCAATATAATTGTCTAAAGCTGAGTGAGTCTTATTTACCAGAGAGTGCTGATCTGCGCATTGTTTCTGGTGAACTGGGTGGAGTCGACGGCCTCATCTCTAGTGTTTCTTTATTCTCTATTGAGAAATGTAGATGGATAGATGCATGTGTTTAGATGAGTTTAGATGGAAATTGTATGTAACAGATTGAAATGATGAGTTGGAATAGATGGATGAATGCATGGATGGGAGTTGACTGGAATGGATGGATGGATGGATGGATGGATGGATGGGTGGATGGATGAATGAATGAATTGGTATGGCTAGGAATTGACTAGAGAGGTGATAATGTTGGAAGGGAATGATGGATCGACTGAATGAATGTATGGATGGATATATATATATATCAATAGTAGAATTGGCTAAGCAAAATTGTCTGTAGTCTATGTGTGTGAATGAGAGTGCATGGGTGTTTCCCAGTGATGGGCTGCATGTGGAAGGGCATCCGCTGCTAGATAGGTTGGCGGTTCATTCTGCTGTGGTGACCCTTGATTAATAAAGGGACTAAGCTAAAAAGAAAATGAATGAACGAATGAATGAATGAATGAATGAATGAATGAATGAATGAATGAATAGCATTTAAACCATAAACTAAAGGTAAACCTGTGAGTGAGCTAAACTGCAGACACTGTGGAGTAGATGACTGAGTCTTGATCAGTGGTTTTCGACTGAACAGATGTGTAATGTGTTTCTGCTGGATTATTCTCACTGTTCTCCACTTTGCAGTCAGTTTTTTTGAGGAACACCACAGAGGAATAGTTCAGACTGTCTGGTTGCGCAGTGAAGTTCCCCGTGGTGTAATTGGCATATTCAGGCTCATGTGTTGGCGATATTACACTGGAAAAGCATCTGCTCTGCTTATACTTTAGTCTGATCAATATGAAGAAGGCAGCTGTGAAAATCAGCAGGAGAACACCAAGACCTGCTCCCACATAAAGCAGAGGATCTGTGGAGAGAAATGAACACCTGGTTAAAGATATCGTTCTTTTCTTGTTGAATTGTTTATCTGCAATATAATTGTCTAAAGCTGAGTGAGTCTTATTTACCAGAGAGTGCTGATCTGCGCATTGTTTCTGGTGAACTGGGTGGAGTCGACGGCCTCATCTCTAGTGTTTCTTTATTCTCTATTGAGAAATGTAGATGGATAGATGCATGTGTTTAGATGAGTTTAGATGGAAATTGTATGTAACAGATTGAAATGATGAGTTGGAATAGATGGATGAATGCATGGATGGGAGTTGACTGGAATGGATGGATGGATGGATGGATGGATGGATGGATGGATGGATGGATGAATGAATTTGTATGGCTAGGAATTGACTAGATAGGTGATAATGATGGATGGGAATGATGGATCGACTGAATGAATGTATGGATGGATTGGGAATAGACTGGATTTGATGCAATAAAAGTTTGCTGGTTGGATAAAGGGGGATGGATGGAAGGATGAATGAATGGAGGGATAGACAAACTTGTATGGTTGGGAATTGACTAGATGGATGGATTGAATGGATGTATTGATGGATTGGGAATAAACTGGACTAGATGGGAATAAAAGTTGGATGGTTGGATAAAGGGGATAGATGAATGGATGGAAGGATTGACAGATAAATGAATGTATGGATAGACAAATTTGTATGGTTGGGAATTGACTGTAGATGGATGGGAATGATGGATTTATTGAATGGGTGTATTGATAGATTGAATTAGCAAGAATATGATTCATGGATGAATTAAGGAATTGACGATGTAAATAAAAAGTTGGATGGATGGATGGATACACAAATTTGTATGACTGGGAATTGACTGTAGATGGCTGATAATGATGGATGCGAATGATGGATGGATTAAATTGATGTATGGATGGATAGAATTAGCAAGAATGAGAATCCAGAATGCATTGGGAATTGACTGGACTAGATGGGAATGAAAAGTGGGATGGATGGATGGATGGATGGATGGATGGATGGATGGATGGATGGATGGATGGATGGATGGATGGATCGAAAAGTGAAGTGGGATGCATGGATGGATGGATGGATGGATGGATCGAAAAGTGAAGTGGGATGGATGGGTGGATGAAAGGGGAATTGGGATGAATGAAAATGGACAGGAAAAGATGGGAATGAAGGGATATATAGATAGATTGATGGA